CATCTAGCTAGGGGTGCTTACAGTTAATGCTAGTTTTCATCTTTCTAGGGTAACTTGCAGTCAATGCTAGTTTTCGTCTAGCTAGGGGAGCTTACAGTTAATGCTAGTTTTCATCTAGCTAGGGGTGCTTATAGTTAATGCTAGTTTTTTCGTCTAGCTAGGGGAGCTTACAGTTAATGCTAGTTTTCATCTAGCTAGGGGTGCTTATAGTTAATGCTAGTTTTCTTCTAGCTAGGGGTGCTCACGGTTAATGCTAGTTTTCATCTAGCCAGAGGTGCTTATGGTTAATGCTAGTTTTCATCTAGCTAGGGGTGCTTACAGTTAATGCTAGTTTCCATCCATCTAGGGAAGCTTGCAGTTTATTCAAGTTACATGTTTGTACTGTCTAACTGGAGGAGTTTGTAGTGTACATGTATGAGATACTAGTCTAGCATTGACTAACTATTAGAAACAATTGCAAAATCTAATAAAGAATACTGCAAAGCCTCTTTAACACAAATGCATGTACATCAAGCCAATCACATTAAACTTGTCTACTTCAGTGTTTATATTCAGTTCACTGAATTTGAAGATTCTAGTTGTTTGGGAGTTTTGCTAATAAGCATTTCATTCATAATTAAATATATAACAATCATAATTTTGTTTTTCAGTTTAAGTACAAGAGAAGAGTTTACAAACAATTAAAATTAGATAAAATGCAGATACGTAAAATACACACCAAGGCCAATCTGAAAGTATTCATGGATCATGTAAAGTCTCGGAACATTGATAAAGTACGAAAATTTCTAGACAAAGGGCTGGACCCAAACTACCATGATGATGAGACTGGAGGTAAGATTAGTATGAAGGTGCACTATATATTTCTAGTTTTAATTATGCGTTAATTTATTCTTTATATTTGCATATGAAACTGTATTCATGAAAAACGTTTTCCATTTTAACAAAAGAGGTTTAGCCACCTTTCAGTCTTTGTACACGTACATGCATAATATGGCATTTTGTTTTGTTTTGTTTTTACTTTCAGAGACTCCATTGACATTAGCATCATCTATGGATAGAACTAATGATATTATTTTATTACTCGTCAACGGCGGGGCGCATCAAGATTTTCGATCCACAGATGGTTTAACGCCGGTACATAAAGCAGCGAAGAAAGGCAATTACAGCATATTAAAAGTTAGTAATGTAATGTAAATCCATATACCGCAAATTAGTTTTAATTTCATGAAGGCAAAAAAAAAAATGCAAAATGCAATGAAATTAAACTAGAATCATTAAATATCTTTTCTGACTATAATGGACCTAGAACAGGCAATCATATTATTACTAATCAGTGCACAGTCAACACTGGATGAGAGATCCAGAAAACCTGCATATTATACTGTTTAGATTGAAAACCTGGTCTTTTGTCGACTGTTTTTAACTACCAATATAATAGCATTGAATGTATGCCAAATTTATATTAATGAGTACAAGCCATGTGACCTATGAACAACTTTCTCAACAATTATGAGTAGCCTTCTAACTTTATAAACATTATCAGGGATGGTGTTAACCCCATATTTTGCTTACCAGACTCAAATTATTGAAGAGGGACCCAATTTTTCAGGCAAGCTGGGGTCCAATCTCTAATTAAGTTATCCAGAGTCAAATTTCTATTTCTTGAAATTTTGTAAGTGTGACTCGTCTTGCCGAGACACTAGTGCAAACCCTGATTATTGTGTTATGTTTTACTGAATACTAATTATTATTTTTTTAATTTGTAGACTTTATTAGATTTAGGAGCATCACCAAATTACCATGACAACAAAGGACTGACTCCTTTATATCACACAGTAACTAATAAAGTGAACGCGGAGTGCACGCAGTTATTGTTACATGAGAGATGCGAACTCAATGCTGCTGATGGCCAAGGCTGGCGGGAGATACATCAGGTAAGACATTACACCGCCGTGAATATCGTGCAATTATGTACACGGTGGTAACCATTAACTGTTAACAACTGCGAAAAGCTATAAATACTTCAGTTTACCTTTTCAGGATTGCTAATTACCATTTTTTTAACAAAATCATGCCACTTTTTTTTTCTAAAATCAATTCCAACAGATCCACACTGCATTACCAGAATGCCTCCGGGAATAGCTTTTAAATTGATTTTTTTGTGAATCCCAAAAAAAGCAAACTGCCTGGATTACATTACAAAATGATTTCTTGAATTTGCATTCTCACTTTGAAATTATGTGAAACACTCCCAAAACAAGATAAAAACATAATATGTGTGTTTGAAAAATATAATATATTAAAAGCAGATGAGCTCCCTTTCTCACTTATCTCATTTTGAGAGTACTGGAGCTTACTTAACCTTTCGACAAAGTAGCGAAATAGAGAGTACTCAACTATTGACAAAGCTTTCTAAATTCTTGGGGGGGGGGGGGTGCTTAAATTCATATTCTATAGTTCATTTCTCTAAATCACTCATCCGCAATTGTTGATGGAATATATATTTGTATATTGGTGTGGAAATAAAACCTCACAAATTTGCAAAGTGGGAACGCAGATATGGCTTTTCTTGAATCATCCTACATCACATGTACATGCAAGAGAAAAATAAAAAAAAATTTAAATAAATAAAAAAAAAAAACCTAGTAATTGTCATGCAGCGCATGTGAAAAAATTTGTGTAAACATAGTCATATAACAAACATTTTATACAAACTCAACTACTTGCCTATAAAACGTATTATATTTAAGATTCTGCTTGTTACTCATTGTATTCTTGGTATTGCACCTTATATATACATTGTGTGATCTTGTGACATTATACAAACCAAAACATTCTCCATTCACTAAATCAACTTATGTTATCCAAACACAAATCAAACTTGAATGCCTTTGAAAGTCATGCTTTTTTTTTAAAAATGCTGCACCACAATTATGAAATAGTTTACCACTTGATTTAAAGGCATGCACTACAGCAGACTCTTTTAGCCATAAATTGGAAACTCACTTTTGTGAATATATTATAAGTATTATGTCTAGCATATCTGGTATGTCTCGCATGGGTCCCACATTGAATCCAATGCATCATGCAGACCACCTTGTCTCTCTGTTTTCAGGCATGTCGATACGGTAGAGTACAACACTTGGAGCATTTACTATACTATGGCGCTATTATGAATGTTCAGAACGGTGCAGGAAATACCGCAATACATGTCTGCGCTCTCTATAACCAAGAACAATGCGCTAGAGTGTTGTTATTCAGAGGTGCAGATAAAGATATTAAAAACTATGCAAATCAGACGGCATTTCAGGTAAGAAAATATTGACTGTTCACTGTCTTGTCTATTCGGGATATATTTCAGTGTGTGGAATCAGACAGTTGGAATGAAGCATGATATATATCATAAAAACAAAGTAATCATACCTGTGTTCCATTGATGGTGCCACCCAACTGTTTAAATTATAAATACTTTTCCTGACATATTCCAGTGTGTTTGAATCAGGAAGTCAATTTGAAAACACTAAACATGGTGATATCATAAAGACAAAGTAATTATCCTTTAGTGCCACTGAGGGCGCTACATCAGCAATCTTACAAATTTTTTGTAGCAGTGTGAATCTTACTGGTGTAAGTTTCATGAGATTTAGTCAGTGTAAAAATTAAATTGTTGAAATTATTCCCGACCAATGGTTGTTTATAGAAGATATTCTAGTGAATACTCTTCCTGACAATACTCAATCATGCGTGTTGTCAATATCAATAGGAAAACACATGGTGCTATATCATAAAGACAAAGTAATCATTCTTTTATGCCATTGAGGGTGTCAATTGCTCATTTCTAATTCCAAAACCTTTTCTTGGTTACCGACTTGCATCCAAAGTGTTCTATGATGAATTGATGATTGTTGTACATGCACAAGTCTTATAGAATGGGATCTTTATCACACTGTACCTAATCATAAATCTTGCATATGCTTAATCTTATAAATCTTCGTTGTTACTGACTACATTTTATATCTTCACTGCACAGGTTGCCATAGTTGCAAATAATTTTGATTTGGCTGAAATCATTAGAAATCATGGATCTGAAGATGTTGGTAAGAAACAAAGTTTTATTTGTGGAACTTTCTATCATCTTTCCGGATAGCAACGTGAATGACAAATTTATAGTCATAGATTTATAATTTTTTTGTAAAAAATTGAGATTATCTCGAAACTTTGAGATATTTGGAAATATTTATTACAGTGATTTTAGTTTTTTTAGTTGTGAACAAATCAGGTTGAAATATTGAGAGAATATCTCATCATATCCAAC